CTTCTGAAGGCCCTTTCAGATCAGGGTTGTGGGTCATTTTAGGTCACGTTAGGATGAAAGCTATTGGGCTTTCTCAAGATTTGATCCATGTTTGTTTTCAGACCAAAACTGCTGTACTAGGATATCTTTCAGGTCATTGAAATTGAAAAGGACAATGATGAGGTCACATACAATATGTTAGCAATTAATGAACTTCAGGTATGTAACGTATACACACACACACACATATATATACATATATATATATATATACATATATATATATATATATATATATATATATATATATATATATATATATATATATATATATTAGAAACGAATTGTCTGACGTAAGAGTATCCATGTTGCTTTGTCTGACGTTGTGAGTGGGTTAAGTGGCAGCCCTCACAGTCTGACTGATCCACTATCCCCAGTAAGACATATGCTTAGAGGCAGGACCCAAGAGCCGTAGTTCATCCCGGGAAACGCTATACGAGGCGAGCACGACAAAAAACACAGCTAACTCCTAGATACCTATTTACTGCTAGGTGAACAAGGGCATAAGGGGTGAAAAAAATTCTGTCCATTTGTTTCCGCCTGCGCCGATGATCGAACCCAGACCCTTAGGATTACGAATTCCGAGCGCTGTCCACTCAGCCGTCAGGTCCCCTAAGTGTATATGTGTCTGCGTGTGCGTGTGCGTGTGTGAGTGTGTGGGGGGGGGTCACTAGGCTGTTGTTTAGGACAAGGAATCCTCGTTGTGGTGAATAGTTAATTTAGTAATCAATGGACCGAAAGACGGGCGCTGATTGGCTGTGATTCTTGTTCGTGTCTTAGAGGTCTCCTGATTGGCTGATGAAGTGATCTTGAGATTAAGTATTCATCATCACGATGGTCTCAAGACGCTGATGATTGGTGTGATTATCTTTTGAGTGGAGGGGGGGGGGTGTATGTTCAAGTGGACTCACCTAGTTGTGCTTGCGGCAGTTGAGCTTTGGCTCTGGGACCCCGCATTTCTAATCAATCTATTTTTCCTCTATTTGTTTTTCACACTACATATATTTCTCACTAACACACACACACACACACAGCCCCAGAAAGCAGATGTCAAACTCCCAGACTCAAAGATACATTACTGCTAGGTGAACAGACGCATCAGGGTGAAAGAAACTCTGCCCATTTGTTATCGCCTCAGCCGGGAATCGAACCTCGGTCATGTTGGACTACGAAGCTCAAGCGCTGTCCTCTGTGTGTGTGGGTGTGCGTGTGCGTGTGTGTGTGTGTGTGGGTGTGTGGGTGTGTGTGTGTGCAGGCGCGCGCGAGCCAACAAATACACATTAGATTGTATTTGTTAGTCTGCACAATCACGTTGATTGTCACCTTATTGTATCACAGAGAGCGTCGACTTCATACGACTACCGGTAAAGCAGATATACCAGTTGTATAAAGTTTTAGTTATTATTTACATTTTAATAAATTATCACATAGAAAAACAGGAATAATTACTTAAGGTAACTATATATACTACACACTACAAACTACCTGTGGTAACCCTATATACTACACACTACAAACTACCAGTGGTAACCCTATATACTTCACACTACAAGGATTGGAAGGAACAAAGCGAATTTTGGTTGTGGGAGATTCCCAGGAGAGGTATTTAGACAGAATATTTTGTGCCAAAGCTAATGGGAACAGGTTAAGGGTTTGCTATCCGGGAGCTGGAATTGGTGATATTATAAACAACATGAATGATATTATGGCTGGAAATGGGAACAAACCCATTATTTGTATCAGTGCAGGTGGAAATGATGTTGGACGAGTTAGGAATGAGGAACTGATACAGAGGTTTAAGACAACCATGGAATTAGGTGCAAGGGAGGAATCCCGATCATACGTGGCATTCTTCCAAGAAAGGGAGTTGGGAATGAATGGTTTTCGAGGGCACTTGGTGTCAATTGCCGGCTGGAAAGATATTGCAAATCAAATGCAATATCTTTCATAGATAACTGGGAACACTTCTATGGAAGAAATGAAATGTATGCTCGTGATGGGGTGCATCTATCGAGGGCTGGGGTTGTTGCTGTTGCGAACTCGTTGGAACCAGTGATTAGAGGCGTTTGTTTGGGTTTAAACTGTTAGCAGATAGTGGTATGGGAATTGATTTGGAGGAAGGAGGTAATAAAAGTATGTGTTTGTGGGAGAAACAAATTGGCAAAATGATCAGGGAAAGAGAAGGGCCTCAAAATAACAATTCACTTAGGGTATATTACACTAACAGTAGAAGTCTAAGAAACAAAATAAACGATTTAAATGCTCTTGTCTGCACAGAAAAAATGGATATTATTGCACTTACCGAAACGTGGAAGAATGTAGAAAATAGAGAACTATTAGCTGAATATAAAATAAATGGATTTAAACTATTTCACACAGATAGCTATATTAGACGAGGAAGGGGAGTAGCCATATATGTTAGGAAAAATTTGAAATGTAGTCTCAAAGAGGGAATCAAAACAGAGCCACACACAGAAACTATTTGGATAGAATTAAACGAAAAAGCAAATAATCATATAATAGGAGTTATATATAGGCCATCAAATTTAGACAGGATAGAAGCAAAGCATCTATGGGATGACATATCTGGAGCATCTAAGTCTACCTATTTGTGTCATGGGTGACATTAATTTTAGTGGAATAAATTGGTTTAACGGAACAGGGAATAATGAAGCAGAAGATTTTCTAGAATTATTTGACGATTGTTTTCTTACGCAACACATTAAGGAACCAACGCGGAAAATAATATTTCAGGTATAGTGTTAACTAACAGGGAAACACAAATTAATGATATCGAAATAGGGAGTGAACTA